GAGGAAGGCAATTTTTTTTTGTTAAAAAGAAATAGAAAACAATGAAGATGAACAAGGACTATCCAGTTACTCACTCCATTCCACTTACTCACCCATTCACGAGTTTGCGCACTGAACATTTAAAAACGTACCTCACACCAACTAATGCCATAAAAGAAGGCACGCACAGTAACCAAACCACCCACCCACCTAAACCACACCCCTCCCCCCCAAATAAACCTTTCTGCAAGAACAAGCCAGGAACATTCCAGGTTTAATCTAGACTTCTTCTAAATCTTTCACTGGCAGGTTGTTACAATGCTGTGTGTGTCGGTATAATTTACTGCCTTGAAGGCACTGTGCAGAGGGACTTTGGTAGTGCTGTGACACCACACAGACAGACACACACAGGAACCCAGAAGAACCATAAAGACAGAGAAACATAGAAGATAGGATCAGGAGGAAGACATCCGGTCCCGTGAGCCTGCTCCACCATTCATTGCTATCATGGCTGATTGTCCAACTCAATAGCCTGATCCTGCTTTCTCCCCACAATCGTTGATCCCACTCTCCCCAAGTGCTATACCTAGCCACCTCTTGAATACATTCAATGTTTTGGCATCAACTACTTCCTGTGGTAATGAATTCCATCGGGTCACCACTCTCTGGGTGAAGAAATGTCTCCTCATCTCCGTCCTATGAGGCCTATTCTGAATGCTCAGATCGTGACCCCTGGTTTCTGCATGCACCCACCTGCATCTACCATGTCCAGTCCTGTTAGAATTTTATGTCTCTACGAAATGCCCCTCATTTATCTGAACTCCAGAAAAAACAATCCTAACATAGTCAATCTCTCCTCGTATGCCAGTCCCACCATCCCTGGAATCACCCTGGTAAATGTTCGCTGCACTCCCTCGAGAGCAAGAGCATCCTTCCTCAGAAAGGGAGACCAAAACTGCACACAATATTCCAGGTGTGGTCTCACCAAGGCCCTGTATAACTACAACACATCCTTGCTCCTGTACTCAAAACCTCTCACAATGAAGGCCAACATACCATTTGCCTCCTTTACCACCTGCTGCGCCTGCAAGCTAACCTTCAGCACAAGGACACCAGGTCCTACTGCATACTCCCCTCTCCCAATTTATAGCCATTCAGGTAGTAATCTGCCTTATAATATAATGATGTAGAGTCCACCACCAGAACACTGCATTACATCAACCAAGCTCCAAAACTAGCCCCTTTGCAGTGAGTGTGCCATCTGATCATGGAAGGTAATGAAATCTAATTCTAATTAGGACTAATTCCTTCAGATCTGTTAGCTCAGCAGCTACTTTCAGCACTTCTCAATTCACAAGATTGGATTTGAAGTAACTAGTTATTTCAGGCCAAACTAGGAAATGCTAAACTGGTCCTTCCTCTTTACAGCAAATCACTCAGGGACCAGGATAATAAAATTTTAACATCCTGAGATGGACAAATGATAACAGTGTAATGCTAAATCTGTTCCAGGATGATGTGGAGGTTGAGGAAGCAAAAGAGTTTATATCGTTTCAAAGGTCATGAGAAGGATGAGTTTTGGGGTTTTTAAATCCTAGCTATTTTCACCAGTTCAGAACCATAGAGACTTACAATCATTCACTTCCAAAATGTGGAATATAAGAGCTTTCAGCCCAATATCCAGACATTGGTTGGGAAAAATCCCACAGTCCAATCACAGCTAGATCTACCATGTGATATTGCTCTTCATAAGTATCAGACTAAATATACTCTCAGACTAAGACCTGGTCTCTAAACCAAGCACAAGATCAGTAAAATTTATATTGGAATGCATACTGGGAATTGTACAATTTGCTGCTTCTCTACATAAAAATATGAGATTAAAATTTCTCAATCTCAGGTGGTGAGGGAAAAAAAACAGTACTGGAGCCTAGTCCTTCCTTCCCTACACACTTATTTGGGACACACACTGAATATTGTAATTTTTCAATATATTCTCTTTTACTCCGCTGTTGTTGTACAATTTCCATTCCATTAACCTGCTAGGACAAGTTACAGTACACTTCTGTGGCCATCACATTCTGCAGTGGGATTGAACCCTTCTTCTTTCTGGCCCAGAGGTAGGGACACCGTTACTGCAACACAAGAGCCAGTCAACTGTGCCTAGTATTCCTAGGAGGCTGGATGGTTGGTTTGCGATGCCAATAGTGTAGGTTCAATTCCCACGCTAGCTGAGGTTACCATAAAAGGATTCACCTTCTCAAATCTTTCGCCTTACCCAAGGCATGGTGACCCTCAGGTTAAACTGCCACCAATTGTCTCTCTCTAATGAAAGAGCTGGCCTATGGTTTGGTAAGATTATGGCAACTTTACCTTTATCATCCAAGTTTTAACCAGGCCCAAGGATGTCGGTGTCCAAGAATTAAATGAGATGAGGAGTATTCAGACCAGTGAGGCCATAGGATCTAGTGCTATGTACATGAACACCAATGAGTCCTCAACATCATAGGAATATAATTAACAACAGTCACCACCTAGTTCATAATACATTAACTTGAAAACAGAAGCTACATTCTTAAATGGTGACAACTCTTCCCAGCGTTATGGCACGAACATAAAAGACAACTTAAAACAGAATCCTTTTTATTTTCCATTGGTTAGAAAAGCAGTTTTCAGCTGCATGAAGTAAACTCGGATATTTCTTTCAGCTTCATTTGAAGATTAACCTTAGAGACGGCAATAGATCACTGCATTTCTCAAATTGCAGTAGATCCTCGAGATCTCAATTTTTCCAAGCAGCTAAAGACATTGCAATTTTCATTGAATAGGTAGAGATTCATTAAACGGATTGTCTATGAACAACCTTGTGCAACATGTGTAGAATCACATTAGGCAGCAAGGTATCAAAAGGTGCTTCTTTGGAACAATACATTAACATCATCCTTCTGCATGTCAGATCTTCACAAAAGTCGCCACCATTTCTCAGGATTAATTTTATCCTCCCCTTCCCTGCTACCCCATGCCTTCTCTCCTAATAAAATCTTGTCTCAGTTAAAAAGCCAACACAATGATCCATTCTTGTTTCCGGTCATGAGAATTGAGCAACGCATTATGACTGCAATAAGATTAAGATACCAACTACAGGAAGGATGCATATATTCAAAGCTAAAAATGAGGCAAAAGTTCAGGGGAGAACAAATAACAGGAATATCGTAAAAGAAAATACTCCCTAGAAAACAGAATTAGCTGACAGAATAATTTGTGCACGTGCACTGTAACGCCTTATGCAGCTCTGCCATTGGAAGTGTATCTCTGGGTGAACACTTACCAAGAAATGTTCTTAACATAAACAGGTTTTATCAAAACCCCAGATCTCAAAAGCAGCAATTCTAAAGAAAAACCTCAAGGCAAATCTGCTCAAAGAAAAAATAAAACTGATGAATGATAGGTTTGTCACAAAAGGGACACAGATTTTGGATCATTGTGGAAAGTTTTGTTTCAAACTTTCATGGGATATGGGTGCTGTTGCAAACACCAACATTTATTTCTCATCCCCAATTACCCAGAAGGCAGTTATGAGTCAGCCACATTGTTATGGGTCTGGAGTCACGTGTAGGCCAGACTGGGTAAGGACAGATTTCCTTCTCTAATGGTCATCAGTGAGCTACATGGGTTTTTACAATAATTGACAGTTGGTAATGGTCACCATTAGGCAAGCTCCTCACTCCAGATTTTATTTGTTTTGGATTCAATTCAAATTCTATCATCTGTTAGCCAGGGGGCTCTGGTTAACTAGTCTAGTGACATTACAACCAACCCACCTACTCTCCATAACAACCATAAATAGAGCAAAGGTCAAGATGTTTCAATGCAAGATGCACAAATAAGACTTTTAAAATTTTTAAAAAAGTGATTAAATTACATTAAAAGAGGTAGAATGCACTTATTCAAACAGCAATGGGATTTTACCCAATTGCTTTCCTTGCAATAATTTAAAACCCATATAAACAGACACACCCACAAAACAAAGAGATAACTGGAAAACAGATCATTCCTGATGGTCCCAAGTATCTTGCATTCTGAGATATACAAGAGGCACTTTGTGGACGCTCAAGTCATGAAGCACAAGCAGCTTGGAATATACCAAGTGTTTTTACAGTTTAAAACATAGGATGAGTGCCTGAGGTCACACTTTAATTTGTTGAAGGTGTTGACTCTTAAGTCTGAATCATGACCACCAAATAAGAGTTCCTGAAATCTTAACCATCCTTGTTGATCTCCAGATTTGATCCATTTGTCATTGAAACAACACTGTTAACTATGCAGTTCAGAAGTTATGCACACGAAGGATATATCAGGATGTAAATCAGTTGGAAAGTTGGGCAGAGAAATGGCAAATGGAGTTTAATCCAGACAAGTGCAAGGTGATGCATTTTGGGAGGTAAAATGCAAGAGGAAAGTACACAGTAAATGGCAGGACCCTTAGGAGCATTGATTTACAGATTGATCTTGCAGTGCTAGTGCATAGCTCCCTGAAAATGGAAACACCGAGTCCATAAAGGTGGTAAAGAATTTTTACGCATGTTTGCCTTCATGATACAGAGCATTGAGTATAAAAGTTGGCAAGTCATGTTGCAGCTGTATAAAACTTCAGTTAGGCCACTTTGGAATATTGTGTACAGTTCTGGTTGCCACAGTATAGGAAGGATGCAGAGGCTTTACAGAGAAAGTGCAAAACAAATTTAGCTGGATGTTCAGGTAGATGGGTTTAGTTAAGAATGGCAACATGGTTGGCACAGACACGGTGGGTCAAAGGGCCAGTACTGTTCTATGATTCAATCCCACATGGACCCAGAAGATGCTTACATGGCCCGACTCCAGTGGGACCCAGAATACTGCGACTGGTGGGCTAGTGGTTATTTAACTAGACTAATAATACAATGGCTTAGACTAATTAACTAGAGACAGAGATTCAAATCCCAATTCAGCATTCAGTTAACAAATAAAAGGAAGACACTTACTATTGCTTGGAGGACTTGAGTTTTGATGGGCTATGGAATAATAATGGACTTATTTCCAGCTCAAGTTTTCTACAGTCCTTCAAGTTTTATGGAAACGCCTGGAATGGTTCTGTAAAAGAAGTGATTCGAAAAAGTTACTGTGGACATTAGAGGTGTATTTTTCAAACAAGGTTCAAACAACTACTGTTAACAGCTCACTTTGCTGTAGACCACGTGGGGCTGTTTGAGCGATGACTAGCTTGGAGAGAAGCTGGTTTGATCTGGTCTTTAGTTAAGGGACAGAAGCCTGCAAGGAAGGCCTGCCCAGCTGATCTCATCCATTTCCGAAAAGAAAACACACTCACTCATCGACTTCAGAGTGAAATGGATTTGTTCTTCTGAAAGACTGCGCTTGTACTTCCTGAGCAAGCTGTGTCTGCAGATTCTCCAAAGATAAACATGACTGGTGATTTGAGCACGTGTGAGCAAAGTCTATGCTTTATTCTTTTGAGTGGCCAAAGGCTTAAATCAGGAGGAGACCTTATTATGGCTGGAGTACAGTTAGGAAATGCATTTACAACTTTTAATCAATTAAATAGAAATGAGATAGCTGGGTAGGTGATGTGCTGCAGCTGTAGTATGTGGGAGCTGCTCAACACTGGCGTGATCCATGCTGTCCACATCTGTGGCAAGTGTCGTAGGGAGGATGAGCAAACTGACTAAAGCACCATTGTACAGAGCCACATTCAATAGGGGAAAGGAAGTGTAATGTGGTAGTAATACTGAATAACATACTGAAGTTAAGGATATCTCTTCTGGGCTGGAGAAGAACTCAGAATGGGAGGTGACAGTTCCAGTTAACATAATCCACGTAGGTACAACAACATAGGTGGGACAAAGAAATTCAAGGGATTATTGACAGCTCAGGCTAAATTAATAAGCAGAGCCATAAAGATAATAATCTCAGGATTACTATCAGAGGCACATACAAATTTGTATACACTAAGTAAGATTACAGGGGTAAATGCATGGCTCAAAAATTGGTATGAGAGAAATGGATTCAGATTCATGAGGCACTGGCACCATTCCAATACTGGGATAAGAAAGAGCTATTCCACTGGGAGGGGCTTCATTTGAACTATACGAGATCAGAATCCTGGCAGATTGAACAACTTAGGATGTAGATGGGACTTTAATTAGTTGTGGGATGGGTCTTCAATTAAATGCAAACTTTAAAACAATTTTTTTTTTTAAAAAACAAACTACAGCAGAGGTACAGGATAATGAAGGTGCGAAAGAGAAGGAAAATGTGACAGAAAGGCACAAAAATTGGAATTAGAATTAATAACAGTAGCAACAACTCAAAGATAGAAGTGGTGCATGCAGCATTTGTAATAAGATAGGTAAATTGATGGCTCAATTACAAATAAATGAATGTAACTTGATCATTATTACAGAAATATGGTGGCAGGGTGACCAAGACTGGGAACTCAATATTCAGGGTTATTCAACATTCCAGAACAATAGGCAAAATAAAAAGGGAAAAAAGGAGGTGGGGCAGTGTTATTAATAAATGATAGCATCAGTGTAGTGGCTAGTATTAATATAGGAGGATTAGATCGGGAGTTGGAATCAGTTTGGATGGCAAGAAGGAATAGCAAGGGTAAAAAGTCATGGCTGGGAATCTTCTACAGGCTCTTGAAGAGCTGCCTCAATGTAAAACAAAAAGTTTAACTCAGGAAATAGAGGCGTGTAAGGAAGGCATGACAACTGTCATGGACTATTTTAATCTGCATATTGGCCTGACAGCTCAGATGGACAAGGGTAAAAAAAAAAGGTGCATCAGTGATTGTTTCTTAGAGCATTATGTTGTACAACCTACCTGGAAAAAAGATATTTCAGATTTAGTAATGTGTAATGTGGGAAGCATTAATAGGAGTTCACTGAGTTATGGGTCCCCCTGGGGGGGTTAGGGATCACAACATGGTAGAAATTGAGATAACAAGGTGTAGAGCTGGATGAAAGCTGACGTTTCTGAAGGGTCCAGACCCGAAACGTCAGCTTTCCTGCTCCTCTGATGCTGCCTGGCCTGCTGTGTTCATCCAGCACTACACCTCGTTATCTCAGATTCTCCAGCATCGGCAGTTCCTACTATCTCATGGTAGAATTTGAAATTCAAATTCAGGGACAGCAACTTGAGTTTCAAACCAGTGTCCTCAACTTAAATAAAGGAAATTCCAGAAATATGAAGATAGACTGGTCTAAAAGTACGCTAGGAAAATAGACAAAAAGGGGAAGTCAGTGGAAGAGCAATGGCAGACATTTAAGCAGGTATTTCAAAACGTTCTGCAAAAACTTATTCTAGTCAAAAAGAAGTTCTCAATGAGAAGGATGAACCACTCTTGGTTAACAAAAAGTAGTCAAGGAGAGTAGCCAATTAAAAACTAAATGCATACAAAGCAGTGAAAACTAGTGGCAGGCCATAGGTATGAAGTTTTTGTTTTTAGGCACCAGAAGTAGACAACTAAAAAGCTAATAAAGAGGGAGAAAATTAAGTAAGAAATTAAACTGGCAAGAAATATAAAAACAAATCACAAGAGTTTGTACAGGTATACAAAAAGAATAGCTAGAGTGAGTGCAGGGCCCTTGGAGAATACACCTGAAGATGGATAATGTAGAGCAGGAAAACGACATATAATTTAAAACATCAGTCTTTATGGCAGAGGATGTGATAAATAACTTAAAGATAACATAAGCAAAATGCTAGTGGGAGGAAAGTCTTGTAAACACAGTCTCTATTACAAAGTACTTGACAAACCAATAGGACTGAAAGCAGACAAGTCACCAGCACATCATAGTCTACATCCAAGAGGTTTTAAAAGAAGTTGTTACAGAGATAGTGCAGGCCCAAGTAGAAATATATTTCAGGAGGATTCCAGCGGATTGGAAAACCGCTAATGTGATACCCTGTTTAAGAAGGGAGGCAGTCAGAAAGCAGAAAACTATACACAAGATAGCCTAACATCCATTGTTGGGTGAACGCTAGAGTCCATATTAATGGAAGAAATAGAAGGGCATTCAGAAAAGCTTAATGCAATCAAACACAATCAACACTGCTTTGTGAAAGCGAAATCATGTTTGAAAATTCTACTAGAATTCTTTAAAGAAGTAATAAGCAGAATAGATAAAAGGGGAACCAGTGAATGTATTGTATTTGGATTTCCAGAAGGAATTGGATGCACTTGAAGGTTATTGCTTATAAAAAGGAGCTCACACTATTGAGGGACTAATGATTGGTTAATACAGAGAAGACTGAGCGTCAGGATTAATGGATGTTTTCAGGTTGTACAGACCATAACTAATGGAGTGCCACACCAAATCAGTTGTAAGGCCTCAGTTACTCACCACCTTTATTAATGACTTGGAGGAAGGAACAGAATGTAATGTATCCATACTCACTGATGAAGTAAAATAGGTGGGAGTGCACGTTGCAGTGAGTTCATAAGAAATCTGCAAGAAGAGATAGATAGGTTGAAAAGATGGGCAAAACCTTGGCAAAATGGAGGTCAATACAGGAAAGGGTGAGATCATGCACTTTGCTAGGAAGAATCAAAAGGCAGACTATTAAAAATAAAAGTACAGCAGAGAGAAATCTGCATGTCCTTGTGCATGCAACATAAAAACGTTAGTTTGCAGGTACAGCAAGTGATTAAAAAAGTGAATGAGATTTTGGACTTAATTGATAAGGGGTTGCAGTTTAAAAATAGGAAAGCCTTTTTAAAGTGTATAGAGTGTTAAGCGGCCACAGGCATGAATACTGTGTACAGTTTTGGACAATTTTTTTTTCAAAAAGGATATACAGACATTGAAAGCCGTCCAAGAGATTCACTAGGTGCTTTCCTGGAATGACGGAGGTGACTCATCAAGAAAGGCTAAACAGTTTAGGCCTTTATTCATTAGGGTTTAGAAGTATGAGGGTGATCTTATTGAAAAATACATGATTCTAACAAGAAGTAGGAGTCTGACAAGGTAAAATTTGAGATGGTATTTCTACCAGTGGGGAATCTCAAACCAGGAAATATAGTTACAAAATAAGCAGACATTCATTTAAAACAAAAATGTGAAGGCATTTCTTCTCCCAGAGGGTAGTGAATGTCTGGAATGTTCTACCCCAGAGAGCTGTAGCTAGATCACTCAAAGTATTTGAACAAGAGCTAGATAGATTTTTGAAATAATCAAATAAATTGAAGGCCAGTCTCCCAGCCTGCCTCAATCCCCTGCAATTTGCCTACCGATGTAACAACTCCACAGCAGACGCCATGTCCTTAGTCCTGCACTCATCCCTGGAGCATCTGGACAACAAGGACACTTATGTCAGACTCCTGCTCATCAACTACAGCTCCACCTTCCACACCATAATCCCCTCCAGACTGATCTCAAAACTCCATGACCTTGGTCTCCGCCCTCTGCAATTGGGACAGGAAGCTGAGGATCCATAGGCCACAATCAGTGAGGATAGACAACTGCACCTCCCCCATAATAATACTCAATACTGGAGCGCCCAAGGAGGTGTTCTCAGCCCCCTACTGTACCCTCTGTATCCCCATGCCTGCGTAACCAAATTCCAAACAAACGCCAACTACGGGTTTTCTGCCGACTACACTGTTGTAGGACGGATATTAAATAATGATGAGTCAGAACGCAGGAAGGAGAGAGGGGGCTTGGCATCGTGGCACACTGTGAACAACCTCTCTCTCAATGTCAGCAAAACTAAAGAACTGATCATTGACTTCAGAAAAAAAAGGAGGAGAATACGCCTCCATCTATATCAACGGAGCTGAGGTTGAGAGAGAGTCAAGTTCCTAGGAGTGATGATAACCGACAAACTTCCCTGGACTTCCCACATAAATGCGACAGTCAAGAAGGCACAACAACACCTCTTCTTCCTCAGGCGGCTCAGGAAATTTGGCCATGTCCATAAGGTCCCTCACCAACTTCTACAGATGTACCATTGAAAGCATACAGTCCAGGTGCATAATGGCCTGGTATGGCAACTGCTGTAAGAAACTACAGAAAGTTACGAGCAGAGCCCAGCTCATCACGGAAGCCATCTTCCATCCATGGAATCCA